AGGGCACCAGAGCCGCTTACAGTTCTTTTTTTTTTTTTTTAAATGAACACAAACCATTTGGAATATTATATACGAATCTAATTTTTGAAAAAATACCCACTAAGTACACAACAAACTGTGAGATAATTTGGCAAAAGTGCTAATCTATATTACAAATAGGATTTGTCCAGGTGTACTATACATCTTTAGATGACATTCTGAAGCATTATAGTACAGTTTGAAGTCGGGAAAAGTGATGCCTCCAGTGTTGTTATTTTTGCTTAGGATTGCTTTGGTTATTGGGGATTTTTTGGGTTCCACGCTAATTTTAAAATAGTTTTTTCTAGTTCTGTGAAAAATATCATTGGTAGTTTGATAGAAATAGCAATGATTGTAAATTGCTTTGAGGAGTATGGCCATTTTGATTCTTTCTACCCATGAACATGGAATGTTTTTTTCATTTGTTTGTCTCTTCTCTGATTTCTTTGAGCAGTGTTTTTAAATTCTCATTGTAGAGATCTTTCACTTTCCCCCAGGTTAGCTGTTTTCCTAGGTTTTTTATTCTTTACATGGCAATTGTCAATGAGATTACCTTTCTAGATTTGGCTCTTGGTTTGGCTGTTGTTGGTATATAGGAATGCTAGTGATTTTTGTACATTGATTTTGTATCCTGCAACTTTGCTGAAGTTGTTTTATCAGCTAGAGACCAATGGAACAGAATAGAGAGCCCAGAAATAAGGCCACACATCTACCATCATCTGATCTTCTACAAAGCTGACAAAAATCAGTAATGGGTAAATAACTCCCTATTCAATAAATGGTGCTGAGATAACTGGCTAGCCATATGCAGAAGATTGAAGCTGGACTCCTTTCTTATACCATACGTAAAAATCAACTCAAGATAAATTAAAGATTTAAATGTAAAACCCAAAACTATAAAACTCAGGAAGACAAGCTAAGCAATACCATCCTGAACATAGGAACAAACAAAGGTTTCATGACAAAGACACCAAATGCAATCACAACAAAAGCCAAAATTGACATGTGAGGTCTAACTAAGCCTAAGAGCTTTTGCACAGCAAAAGAAAATGTCAACAGAGTAAACAGACAATCTACAGAATGGAAGAAAATTTTTGCAAACTATGCACCTGACAAAGTATATATGAAGAACTTAAACAAATTTAGAAGAAAATAACAAACAACCCCATTTAAAAGTAGGCAAAGAATATGGACACTTCACAAAAGAAGATGTACATGCTGCTAACTAGCATATTAAAAAAGAATTCAATATCACTGATCATTAGAGAAATGCAAATCAAAACCACAATGAGATACCATCTCAACACAAGTCAGAACGATTATTAAAAAGTCAGAAAAATAATAGATGCTGGTGAGGTTGCAGAGGGGAAAAAACACTTATACACTGTTATTGGGAGCATAATTTAGTTTAACCATATGGAAAGCAGTCACACAATTCCTCAAAGAGCTAAAAGCAGAACCACCATTTGACTCAGCAATTCCATCAGTGGGTATATGACCAGAGGAATATAAATCGTTCTACCGTAAAGACACATGACTGCAAATTTTCACTATTCACAATAACAAAGACATGGAATCAACCTACATGCCTATCAATGACAGATTGGATGAAGAAAATGTGGTACATATACACTGTGGAATATTATGCAGTCATAAAAAAACAAGACATGAAACTGGAGGCTATTATTTTTAGCAAACAAATGTAGGAACAGAAAACCAAATACCACATGTTCTCACTTATAAATGTGAGCTAAATGATAAGAACACATGAACACATAGAGGAGGAACAGCAGCTGCTGGGGCCTACTTGAGGGTGGAGGATGGGAGGAAGGAGAGGAGCAGAAAAGATAACTTTGGGTACTGGGCTTAAAACCTGGGCGATGAAATGATATGTACAACAATGACTGTAATCTCAGCCCTTGGAAGGCTGAGAGAGGTGGGCTACCTGAGTCAGGAGTTTGAGACCAGCTGGCCAACATGGTAAAACCTTATCTTTTCTAAAAATACAAAAAATCATCCAGGTATGGTGGCACACACCTGTAATCCCAGCTACTTAGTAGGCCAAGGCTGGAAAATCACTTGAACCTGGGAGGTGGAGGTTACAGTGAGCCAAGATCACATCACTGCATTCCATCCTGGGTAACAGGATGTGACCCCATCTAAACAAAAACATTGCCTGTCTCCCAGTGTAACTCTTTTTCTGATGAATGAAACAGTGTTTGAGTGACTCAGAAGCCTAAAGAGCTTCTCCTTCATATACTTCGTTCATTGCTCTTTTGTCTATCTGGTAAAGCTTTTTACTTCTAAAGATTTTTTTTAACGTTATAGAGTTATACTCTTCTTTATAAGCATGATTTCTTAATATAAACATTTTTGGATGGGTTTCATGTGTTGTTCTATGGTTGAATATTTGCTCCAGTATTGTATAACCAATTTTAATGCCAACAACTGGTGTTTACCATGGGAGTGTGGATGAATGTTCTTGTTTAAAGAAAAGAAGATCTCAGTGGTAACTCAAGCTACGTATTCCATTCTATAACCAAAATGGTCTTATAAAAATTTTTATTGCAATTCAGTTCTAGTATGGAACTTATTTAACCTAAAACATCTGAATTATCATATCTGATCTATGACTTAGTTACAAAATCCCAGAATGTTAGTGAAGCATCAAAATTATGTTCGTATATATTTTGTTTTATTTTTTTTAAATGGAGTCTCTCTGCTGCTCAAACTTCCCAGATTCAAGTGACTCTCCTGCTTCAGCTTTCCAGGTATCTGGGACTACAGGTGCATATCACTACACCTGGCCAGTTTTTGTATTTTTAGTAGACACAGGATTTTGCCATGTTGGCCAGGCTTGTCTTGAACTTCTGACCTCAGGTGATCCATCTGTCGTGGCATCTCAAAGTACTGGGATTACAGGCATAAGCCACCAGCCCATAAATGGTTTTCATTTAAGTACACTTCGTTCAGTGCTTCCTTAGAGAAATTAATAAATACTACAAAATGGAGATAATGGCCTTTTTGCTATACTATCATAATTATTACATGTTATGTAACTGCTTTCATATTAAAGTAGACAGGAGGTAGGTTTACAAATTAAATGAATCCTGAATATTTTTCTGTATGATACTGGTGTTCTTATCTTTTCTGGAAATATATGCAGCTTGATTTTTAAATTAACTCATAATGTTCCCTCTAATTAAAAAAAAAAAATTAACTGAGAGTGTCATTTACAGCAACAAGAATGAAACTAGAGACCATTATATTAAGTGAAAGTGCTAAGTGAGGCCAGTACAGAAAGACAAACGTTGTATCTTCTTACTCATATATAGGAACTAAAAAGACAAAACTCTATCTCGTGGACATAGAGAATAGAATAATAATAGATACTGAAGACTGGGAAGAGTGTGTCTGTGGGTGGGAGAGGTTGCTAATGGGTACAAACATACAGCTAGTGAGAAGGAATACGTTCTAATAATGTTTAATAGCAGAGTAGTGTGATCATAATTAACAGCATATCGTATATTTCAAAGTTGCTAGAAGAGAGGATGAGGCAGGTGGATCACGAGGTCAAGAGATCAAGACCATCCTGGTCAACATGGTGAAACCCCATCTCTACTGAAAATACAAAAAAAAAAAAAAAAAAAAAAAAAAAAATTAGCTGGGCATGGTGGCGCGTGCCTGTAATCCCAGGTACTCAGGAGGCTGAGGCAGGAGAATTGCCTGAACCCAGGAGGCGGAGGTTGCGGTGAGCTGAGATCGCGCCATTGCACTCCAGCCTGGGTAACAAGAGCGAAACTCCATCTCAAAAAAGAAAAAAAAAAAAAAGTAAAAAAAAAAAAAATATTCCCAGCACACCCCAAATACTCTGACTTGGTCATTATACAGTGTGTAAATGTAACAAAATACAAATGTATTCCATAAATGTATACAACCACTAGTATCAATAAAAACTGCTTTATCATATTTAATCTCCTTATAATTTGTGCAATTCTTTATTACCATCATTATACTGAACATTTTTTATACAATTGGATGATCCCGGTAAGTGGTAAGAGTGGTAACCATACAACAAACAGAGGGAACGTAGGTATGCATCCCTTATTCATTATCAACATTTTGCTGTAGGACTTTCTCCTCAGTTCAGCTGAAAGCCAGGTTCTTCTTGCATGGCCATGAGAGATTAGGCTCGCACATGCTTCGAAGGGTGAGAAAAATAGAATTTATTGGGCAAAAAGGAAAACAAAGGAAACAGGGACTCTCAGCAGAGTGGGAGTACTGCTAGGATAGGCTTTCCACCTAGTAGATTGAATTCCAGGTTCCACCCTGGAACAAGAGAGGCCAGGCGTCTCCCCCCATGCAAATGGCACAGACTTCTTAAGGATCCAACCCAATGTGAACTCTTCCCAATGCACAAGCCAGTTGGAGTTTCTCTGGGGACCCCTTTGCATTTGGCTGTCTCAATTTCATTATTCAGGATTCTTTTTATCTGCTAAAGGTACTATGGTGAGCAATTTTTAAATGCCAAATTTAAATGTGCTGAGTTGATATTAGGAGTAGAGAGAGTGTTTGGAATTACCAAACAGACACGGAAGGCATTAACCTTTAAGAGCTTTTATTTCTATATAATATCTTCCAAATAGACACGGAAAGCATTAACCTTTAAAAGCTTTTATTTATGTATAATATCTTCTATGATCGATACACTCCACCTGAATCACTTAAAATGTATCCATTACCCTTTTTGTTCTGTTTTCTAGAACTCGGCTAGAATTTTAATTTATATTTAGGTGGGATATAAATGCTAATTTTTTTTTTTTTTTGAAATAAAGCCTCACAACCTGAGTATTAAAAACATGTAGGAATGATCGTATGACATTCCTAGGAACAAAATATACTTAAATCAATATGCAAATAATCTCTTGATAATAATAATCTGCATAATGAATAGCATCATAATTTTTCTTATTTTCCCATAGACACTAACAAATCATCTGTATGCCTAATGTTGATGCTGTCTTTCCCTAGTGTACTGGGCAATCTAAGACAGGGAAATAAAGATAAGTTTTGGATTGCAGAATGAGGTAAGATATAGCATCATGTGACAGACAAATCATATAATTGTGAGTTAAATACCACAGTTGCTTGTGGATGGTAGACCATCAATTCTTCAAAACAGTTCTTCTCATTTAATGAGAATTTATATTCTGTCATGAAAGGTCTCGATCTCGGTTATAGATTTCCTCTCTTAGGATCTTCTAAATCTTATTTTAAAACAACTTTACTGAGGCTTATTTTATATACAGTCATGTACCTTCTAATGACATTTTAGTCAAGGATGGACCACTATTTGAAGGTGGTCCTGTAAGATTATGCTCTATTTTTACTATACCTTTCCTGTGTTTAGTTATGTTTTCTGTGTTTTGGTACACAAACACTACTGTGTTACATTTGCCTACAGTATTCAGTACAGTAACACTCAGTGCAGGTTTGTAGCCTAAGGGTAATAAGCTATGCCATATAGCCTAGGTGTGTAGTAGGCCGACCATCTAGGTTTGTGTAAGTAGACTCTATGTTGTTGGCACAGTGACGTAATTGCATACTGATGTGTTTCTCAGAATCCATACCCTTCATTAAATAACATATGACTTTACAATAAATGCACCCATATTTAAGTGTACAGCTCAATGAGTTTTTACATGTATGCACTTATGTAACCACTCCCTCAATCATGAGATAATATATCTCCATCGTGCCAAAATCTCTTCTCATGCTTCTTTGCAGTCCTGCCCCAGGCAATCACTGATGTGTTCTGCCTCTTCTAGAATTTCGTGTAAAGAATATCAAACAGACATTCTATTGTGTCTTTGTCTTTATTCAGTTTAGTATAATTTTGAGAGTCATCCACATTGTTACTTGTATCAGTGGTGTGTTCCTTTTAACTGAACGGTATTCCATTACATGGATAAACTATCATTTCTTTATTAATTCACATGTTGATGGACAGTCTGATTGTTGCCAGTTTTTCACAATTACGAATAAAGCTGCTGTGAACATTCATATGCAAATCCTTGTGTGGGTGTGTGTTTCAGCTTACCTTGGGTAAATACCTAAGAGGGTAATTGCTGGGTCACATGGTATGTGTGGGTTTAACTGTAAAACAAAACATAACAAAAACAGCAAGTTGTTTTCCAAAATGGTTGCAGCATTTTGTTTCCAATGGCAATATGAGGACATTCCAGTTCCTCCATATCTTACCAATTTTTGGTAACATTAGACTTCTTAATTTTAGCCTTTCTGATTGTTTATAGAAAGCTTGTTCAACCCTGTGACTCAGGATGCATTTGAATGTGGCCCAACACAAATTTGTAAACTTTCTTAAGACATTATGAGATTTCTTTGCAATTTTTTTTTTTTTTTTAGTTCATCAGCTATCATCAGTGTTAGTGTATTTTATGTGTGGCCCAAGACAATTCTTCTTCTTTAGACACCCCTGGGATATAGTAAGATATTGTAGTTTTAATTTGAATTTCCTTGATGGCTACAGATGTTGAACATCTTTTATGTCATTATTGGCCATTTATGTCTTGTTTTGTGAAGTGTCTGTCTTTCCGGGACACAGATCTTTTGACAGATTTGTGTATATCAATACTTCCTTATATTTAGTAGTTTAACTTTTCTTTAACAGTTTTCTTTAAAGAGTATATATTTTTACTTTAGCCAAAGTCTAATTTTTATATATGCATATTTTTCTTTCATGGCTTGTGCTTCTTCTGTCAAAATCTTTGGCTGTGCAGTAGATAGACACAAACAATTTTTCCTATGTTTGCTTCCAAAGTTGTATAGATTTGCAGTTATATACAAGTCTAAACTTTGAGTTAATTTTAATGAATGATGTGGAGTAAGACTCTTGTTAATAAAAAACTTTTGGCCATGCTTTTTTTTTTTTCCCATCCCTGTCTCTTTTTTCTCTTTTTGAGACTCCAATTATACACACTGCTTAATATCTTTCATAGGTCACAGACACTCTATTCATTTCTGTTTCTTTAGATTTTCTTTTACCTAAACTTTGGATTGAATTGTTTTTATTGGATTTGTTTTTTCTTTTTTCTTTTTTTTTTCTTTTTTTTTTTTTGAGACCGGATCTTTCTCTGCTGCCCAGGCAGGAGTGCAGTGGTGTGATCTTGGCTTACTGCAGTCTCTACTTCCTGAGCCTCAGGTGATCCTCCCATCTCAGCCTCCCAAGTACATAGGACCACAGGCAGGTACCACCATGCCTGGCTAATTTTTGTTTTTTTAGTAGAGATGGTATTTCACCATCTGGCCTAGGCTGGTCTATAACTCCTGGTCTCAGATGATTCACCCACCTTGGCCTCCCAAAGTGCTGGGATTACAGATGTGAGCCAGTTACTGGTTTGTTTTCAAGTTCATAGTTCTTTTCTTCCCCAGCTACTAATCTGCTGTAAGTCTGACAGTTATTTTTTTTCATTTTATTGTATCTTTTAGTCCTAGTAGTTCCATTTGTTTACTTTTTAAGTCTTCTGTTTCTGTTTTTAAGATATCCATATTTTCTGTTCAATACTTTGCCCTATTTTCTGATTTTTAAATAGCTACTTTAAGGTTCTTTTTTCTAATTGCATCCTATTGATAAATATTTTCTTCTTACTGATAAATTTTCTCCTAGGTATGGGTCATAAGTTGATGCTTTTTTTTTTTTTTTTGCATAGTTAGCAATTTGTGAGTGGATGCTAGACACAGTGTAAGTTAAATTGTTGAGTACTAGCATTTTGTTTTCTTCCTTTAGTGTTGAAGTTTATTTTGGCAAGCAGATACATTACTTCTATCTTTGCATAATATTTTTCACAATTGTTTTGAAATATTCTTAAGATGGGTCTAGAGTAGTCTTTCTGTAATCCTAGTTTAGCCTTACTACTAAGACATGACTTTCTGTGATCTCTTCTGAATGCTCTAAATGTTCAATGATAGTTTTTTTTCTGCCTAGTTAGAATTCAAACACCTCCCAGCACTGTTGACCTCTGGAAATTTTTTCAGCTTAAAACTCTCTGACAGTTGTTCTTTTGCTGGCCTTATGAGGTTTTACCTTAAGCATGACCAAATTAGTATTAATCAACCAATTAAAGATTCTGAAATTCTTTCTCTGTGTAGGTCACCCCTCCCGGTACTTTGCCATGAAAATTCTAGCAGCCTCAACCTCCCCCAATTTCCTTCTCCTTTCATCAGTTTAAACCATCCTGCTCTATTTTGGGTTCTCTTGGATAATAGTCAAAAAATTGCCTCCAAAAGTAAAGCTTGGCAATTTTAGAACCTGCCTCCTTAGCTACTATTCTTTCAGGGATCATGATTATAATCTGTCTATTCTCTCATTTCTGAAAACAATTGTAAAATATATATGTTCAGGTTCTTTTGCTATTTATAGTTAGAGGACAGGTTCTATACCAGCTATTTCAGTTGAAAGAAGAGGAAGAAGGCTTACTCTTTTTTCTTTCTTTCTTTCTTTTTTGACAGAGTCTCACTCTGTCATCAGGCTGGCATGCAGCAGCATGATCTTGACTCACTGCAACCTCCACCTCGTGGGTTCAAGTGATTCTCCTGCCTCAGCCTCCTGAGTAGCTGGGACTACAGGAATGCACCACCACACCCAGCTAATTTTTGCATTTTTAGTAGAGGCAGGGTTTCACCATGTTGGCCGGGATGGTTTCGATCTCCTGACCTTGTGATCCACCTGCCTCAGCCTCCCAAAGTGCTGGGATTACAGATGTGAGCCACTGCCCCCAGCTAGAAGGCTCATTCCTCGAGTTTTATCATCACAGTCATTTACTTTTACTCAATAAACGAGGGTGGGTTCTTTACAAACACTTTTACTGTTTGCAGGCTTATTTATTTTGCAACTTTATTTGATTAGGCATGTATCAGATAAAGTATTTTTATCATCATATGTTCCTTTCCTCTTAGCAGACCTATGACAATTTACAGTTTTCTATAGTTTTCCCAGAAGCATGCATTGGTTTAGTTTAATAGAAGATGATAAGAGGAATATCATTTCTCTGTTAGGAGAGAGATGATATTCCTCTTATCATTGCCTAGCAGAGAGATGATTTTCCTTTAGAGCAAATTCAACCAGCTGCAGCCCATGGAACAGCTTTGAATGAGGCCCAAAACAAGCTTACAAACTTTCTTAAAACATTATGAGACTCTTCTGCAATTTTTTTAAGCTCATCAGCTATCTTTAGTGTTAATGTATTTTAAGTGTGGTCCAAGACAACTCTTCTTCTTCCAACATGGCCCCGGAGAGACAAACGATTGGATACCCTTGCTTTAGAGGTAACAAAGTCCTAAAAAACTAGGGGAGAAAAACCAAAACTATGTCCTTAATATAAAAAAAGAGTACTTATAAAAATTTACACAATATGCAAATAAAAGAACACTACTACAAGAGTTGAGGTTAGGCTGTCAGACAGGCATAGTGGCACATGCCTGTAATCCTAGCACTTTGGGAGGCTGAGGCGAGAGGATCACTGTAGCCCAGGAGTTTGAGACCAGCCTGGACAATATGGTGAAACTCCATTTCTGCAAAAAATACAACAATTAGCTGTGCATGATGTTGAGAGACTGTAGTCCCAACTACTCAGGAGGCTGAGGTGAGAGGATCACCTGAGCCTGGGGAGGTAAAGGCTGCAGTGAGCCAAGACTACACCACTGCACTCCTGCCTGGGTGACAGACTGAGACCTTGTCTCCCCCAAAATAAAATAAATAAAATCTAAAGAGTGGCTTTCAATTATTAAAACAGATTTCATTCATAATAATATTGGGAACTGTATTTCACTTGTTACTCTGAAGAGTAGATGTAAGGTTGTAGGGGAGTGTCCACTTATTAGGTGAGATTCGGAAATTTAAAAAAATTAAAAACTCTAATTTCTGAATTTCAAGCACTTTAAGTTTTAAAATGTTCATAAGGGAAAGCATAGAGTATGGAGCAGAGATTCCCCTATACATTTTCATCACACACAGAAGAGAAAGCAGGCCTGTAAGCTAAACCAAGATTAAAAAGATTTTAAAAGATGT